CCCCAAAACCCCAAAACCCCATCTCAAAGCAATTAAGAAGAATGTGCTTAGTTATAAAATAACTTTTTGATCAATTTTTATAGTAAGATTAAGCTTAGAATTAAATAGAATTGAAGAATATTAAAATTGTAATACTTTTGAAAATATCCAAGCATATTGATGGTAATAAAATATCCTTATTTATATTCTCATTATAACTAGGAAGCGATGATTGAACCAAAGAAATTGCTAGAAGTGCAACTTGATTTAGAACATAAGAAACCTCAAATATAGATCTATGATGAAAACTTGGATAATGTATTGAATGATAACAAATAAGCTTTTGTTATTGGGATACTCGGCCGGTAATAGATAGGCAAAAGTACCTTCTTGAGATCTTGTTTTGATGTGAAATTTAAATCTAGTTCTGCTGAATCACAGGGTAAACAAACAACTGTAGGTTAAGATATTGCGGTAAGGAAAGCGGATTAGTATGATTTAGTTTTAATTGATGCTGAAGGTTTTGGGAGCTCAGAAAGCAAAGAAAAATATAAAAATCAAATCTTTTGGACATCAGACTAAAAAAAAAAAAGAAAGATAGCTCGAAATCTCTCTAAATTTTCATTAGCTTTATAGTCAGTATTTCTACTAGATATCTGCGATATTCTTTTTGTTGTCAATGAGTACAATCATGATTGGGAAGATTTTGAAGAATTTATTGACAACTATTAAAAGTTCAACAACTAAGAAATATCTCTTCCTCAAATAATTTACTTGATAAAAGGAGCTGATACAAAAAACAAGTAATAATTGGCGGTAACTAATCTTTAATAAGCATTTGCTAATGAGAATACTGAAGGAAATGACCCATAAAATTTTGATAATAAAAATAACAATAGAATTACTGACATTAAATACCACTTTTTGCCGAGTTACTCTGGAGATGATTCTGTTTATAAGCAAAAAAATGATCTTATTCTAAGTTTCATCGAAGACACCATAAAAAATTAATGAGATAAAATAAAGAACAAAATAGAATTGAAGCAACAAATTTTAGCAATAACTCATAAGTTGAATCAAGTATTAAGTATGTCAGAGCTAGTGCCATTAAGTTCTCTAGAATTTGCAAATATTCAATTCGATCTCCATTTTTAAAATGAAGATTCGATATAGCCTTATAGAAATTTAGTAGAAAATATAAAAGATATTCAAAATTAAAGCGAAATGCTCATGGATACGCTTGATAAAATTGATATACCTTCTAAACGAGAGATTCTATGTTAATCGAGAAAAATATCTCGTGCAATGAGTAGTATATCTTTGGGTGCCTCAGCTACTGGTATAGGTACTACATGCTTAGCATTAGCAGGAGCTACTGTGGTGCCTTTTGTTGGTTGGACAGTTGCTGGAGTAACGGTGACTACTTTGGTTGCTAAAAATTGCGTTGATAAAACTGTACTAAAGTCCAATTAAGAAGAAGTTGAAAAAGAAGTGAAAATAGTTGTGGATTTAATGAGGCAGGTCTAATAAATTATGGGAGTTCTATAAAAATTAAAGGAAATAGAGGAAAAATCTTCCTCACTCAAAAAACTATTTGTGTTTTTAATAATCAAAGCTATCAAGGAAAATGCAGACATTTAAGATTCTCAACTCAAATAGAAAGTCATTGAAGAATATGTGAAATACAAAGAGAAAAGTTTGGACCATTAAATCCTTTCAACCAATATTTCTTCAGCGGAAGAGGAGTTCAAGTTTCAAGAATTCGGAAATTAATATTTTAGTTCTATTGGAAATAATCTCTCTAATGGAGGAATATAAATTCTTTAGCTACCATAAAAAGTAGAATACTTAACAAGAAATGGCAAAAAAATCTATTAAGTTTCTAGAATAGGCTTTGAGTCTATTGGAGAACTTCAGACAGCTTAGAATCTTGGAGGATTTGCTTCCAAAGCTGCTGGCACAGATGGAATAAGATTGATTGGAGAGAATACTAAGGCTTTCAGACATATTCAAAGATTCAATGTTGACAAAGTTAAAGCTTTAGGAGGAGCAGCCAAAGTAACTCAAAGTTTAGGAATAGCCTTTGGAGTCCTAGGCTTTGCAATTGAGACATACTCAGTCTTCTAATTTGAAGCTGACTACAATAAGAATATAACAAAGATGGATAATTTCGAGAAAGCAATTAATGAATTAAAGGAAAAATTACCAAAAATTCTAGAATTTATTTTCAATTTTGAATCTCAAGGTCTTTAACATTAAGAAGAATGATGTTTTATTGAGAACATATTAAGTTTATAATTTAATATTTGATGCAATAATTTTTATCTACATTTATTATCTTAAGGGGTTTTGGGGTTTTGGGGTTTTGGGG